ATGTACCTTTTTTCGTTTTTGTTTAGCAATTGATAATTGCTGTCAGTCCAAATAAAACCATTGAAATGTACAATTTGTTTCTGCTGAAATTTATTCGGACACCACGATTCATACACCGAGAGAAAAAAAAATTACTGCGCTAGAATGGTAATTTGGTACTGTTTCGTCTTTTATATATATATATATATATATAAACTTTAACTGTTTGTACTATAGAAGTCGTATTGTCCAGAATAACGGTAAGAATTAGCTTGACCAGAGTAATAAGTCCCTAAACGGCGGAATGACACAAAATTACCATCCTAGCACAGTAATTGTTATTATTTTAAAGGTCATAAAACGATTGAGCGGTTCAGTACAAATACATATTTTTTTTTAGACATATCAATGTCATAAAAGTGAATTTCCCAAGTATGTATTCCTTTCCCGATTACAATGAAATTCCCTCATTTGACTTATTTATATGTACAGCCAATCATAGCCAAAGTGCTCGATTTATAGTACACCAAAGCTCTAAAAAAATGATATGTTATTCTGACAAGAGTATCAGTGTCGAGCAACGAGAATTATTTTCTTGTCTGTTTGGAAAAAGTGAACACTGTCGAAATTTAAGGTCTCATGACTCGTGATAGCGCCCCCTCCGCATTAGAGCCAATTAATTCGGAAAATCGAATGGGTTTTACAGATAGTTCCTCAGTAGTTTCGTACTTCGTATCAATCAATTTCTTTTTGATCAACTGCCTTGAACGTTGAATGATGACATTTCACAATACCACTTCCAAAGTCGGCTTTACTTACGATTATGATCAGAAACTACGTGTTAAGAAGACCTCATACTCCAAATTTCCTTTTCCACTAGCCCCACAATGAATCTTCAAGATTGGTTCATCAAAGTTGATGTAGTTCATACAGTACAGTATATTGCCAACTGATAATTACGCTCGACATCATTATATCACTTATCAACACAATTGGTATAACAGTTGTTGAGGATTGGAATGGGTTAAGTATTAAAACAAAGATCGGTTTCCAAAAAAACGTGAGTATTTAATTATTCTAAATAGTATAATAGATGAGATTCAACAATAGGCAGACAAGTACATAGGTTAGACTAAAACAAAAAATAACTAGATGTGCTTCTTGAGTTTGTTGAACTGCTCCCTGACGGTATCGACAACCTCATGGACCAGCTGCTTGGCGTCGACGACGGCCTCGCTGCTGATGTGTTTGAGCTGGTCAGCCAAATCCTTGAGGGACTTGTTGATGTTCTCGATCTCGGGGGCAGCCTTTTTGCCCTCGAGCTTGATTTCCCTACAGACTTCCTTGGCCTTGTGAATCAGCTCGATTCCTTTCTCCCGGATGACCTTAAGGTTGATGTTGACAACATTCTGGCCCTTTTGCTTGACATCGTGCCAAGTTTTTCTGATCTTCTCAATGGCCTGGGAGAACTTGTACTCGAGTTTCCTCCAGGCATCCTCGATGCTGCGCTCCTCGGCCTCGTCTACCACCACAACGTCGTTGCTAACTTTTGGTGCTGCCTGTAGGTGGTAAAGAATTATTCAATAGTTTATCACTTATATCCGTTTGATGACATTTGTTTTTCTAGAATAGTTATTAGAAAGTGCGAGCGATACTCACCAAAACGAGGGCAGAGCCCAAGAGGACGAGGAACAAAGTCTTGGAAACCATTGTCAAGCTGCTTGGTACGAGGTACTGGAGACTCGAAGTGCTTGTCAAAATCTCACCCTCGGGTTTATATACGTGAAAAAGTGTTGTTGACTCGGATTTCTACTGTCGGTGCATTGTGTTTGTTATTTGATAAGACGTATTTGTATAATTTGGATGCAATTACAGCTGTGGTGTGCCTCTTACGATCATCACTTGTCTCATTCATGCGAGCAATTTGTGTTTATCTGATGATGCAACTTTATTGATTTAAAAAGTATAAGAGACCTTTCTTCCGAGTTTGATAATTGTGACTTTTACGTCATAGGTCACCTCTTTTTGGGAATTTTAATATTGGCAAGGATGTGAAATGATTTCAAGTTTTTACATTACACAATATGCTTCAATAATTGTTTAACTAAAGAGGTCACACAAGTTCAATTACGTAATTATTAAAGCTCTACAAAAAAAAAAAAAAAAAATATGACTAACTAGAATTTTGCATATTGCCACATGCCGTTATAAGAACCTCGATTGTCTCTCTTTATGTAATTGAACTATTTTTAATTGTATACCACAAATTTGTATGGATCTGTTTATTTTTCAGCAATTGTATTTTTATTTATGATGATTCGCACTTCAAACATAAACCGCATGAAAAGAACGTCGATCCGTGCACATCGCTTTGAAAAACAGCATTGAAATTCACGCGTCCTTTCAAACCAACATCAGCGCAATCATCATCACATGATACGCACTTTCGCTCAGTGAATTTTAATTACGAGGACAAAAAAAAACGCCTATAGTGTTTATGCACAAGCCAACCCCAATTTGGTCGCATTAGATTGCGCGTTATGTCACGTACTCCGGTCCAAACGTGCGATATGCGCATCTTCATGCGAAATTTCGAATTGGTGCGCGCGAGTGCGTTCGTGCATGCGTATGTTCATTTTGTCGCTGTGCCCAACATTTCGATTAATAAATGTATACGTGACTCCTCTTATACCCCCCCCCGCGACGAATTTGACAATTCGATTGGTACGGGAAGGGGTATATGTTGTACGGGAGCACGTATGTTTGTACACGCGTGTGGATATATGTGCACTGCAACGAGAATGGATCACTTCATAATGGATGTCAAACATATTTAGATTGATATGAATGTGCGTATATATGCACGGCGACCACCTCTTTCAATGCAGCTCGAAATTCGCTCGCCTTCCATCACCTGCTGCAGTAATTAATGATACTTTTCATCATATTTTTCTGGTCGTTCATATATTTCATTGTGAATCCTTTTTAAATACCAATTTTAATCCATTTCTGTATTTTTTAATCACATAAGAACGTTCTTGTGATTCCTTATCTTTAATTTTACCTTATAAAGCCAAATAATTTCAAATACAGCATTTTATTCGTTATCTGATACCTTTAAGCTGAGATCATGCGGTTATGATTTGAATAACATTCGCTGGTTGTAAAAATAATTAATCAAGCATAATCAATGAATATTGATCAGAGACGAGCGATACAATATAAAACAGGAGGATGACAGCATATCAAAAAGCTACCTGTGCGAAATTTTTTTTTTTTAATTTTTAAATTCAACCTAACAATTTTATTCGACGTTTCAAATACTGATGTTGAAATAATTCACAACTTCACGTTTGGAACGTTTTAGTGATGAATTCATATTATTTGCATAAAGATGCGCCACAGGCTTGGTTTTTTAATTACGCAATAAATATCATAAAAATTACTGTGACAGCATTCTATTGTCTAGGAACTTTTTACAACCTTGTTGTCATAACACTGAGTGGTAATTTAAAAAGTCCCTGGATTCCGAATGACTAGAATATAGGGGACACTCATTTTTATATTTTTTCTCTCATATTATCAATAAATGAGTTCGTAACCGTGGAACGGTAATAGTTACGATGCTACCGAGTGATCAACTGTAGTATTTTGATAACACTCCATTATTTTTTTCAACTAAATTATCATTAGTGGTTACGTTTACCGACTGCGTTACTTTTTCATCTCGTCAATTAACAAAGTCAACATTCTCGCAAAACTCCGTGATCCCGTAACACAATAGTTCGCGCGTTAATCGCCAGACGTGTCCTCCCCTCTCCCACGGAGGTTTTTCTTCGCCAAGAGAGCAGCAGCGCGCGTCGAACGCTAATGCAGTTTAACTCCGCCGTCTTTGATAAATCTCGTGAAGAAGAAAGCCGGGGCCCATCACGTTAGCGCCGTCACGGGGGGAGTCCGTGTGTATGGAATTACCCGCCAGGCGGAGGCGCGCGCGTGCGAAATTCCGAGGAGGAGGATGTTTCTCTCGAGTTTTCTCAACTCGCGGCACGTAGGGGAAGAAAAATCAATTGCTGATGCTCAGAAAATTTTTGAGTACTTTATTTTAGGCAAATACAATGATTTCATCCGAAGGATCGGATTTTGTTGTTAGGCATAGGTAATTTAGTGCTCAAAAGCCTTGGCGAGCTTGTCGACGTTGAAGCTGACTTCCTTGGCCACGTCCGGCTCTTGGGCTGCGTTCAAGAAATTGCTGCAGTAGCAGATGTTGCCCGAGCACCGCCACCAGCCGTAGCCCAATCTGCCGCAGATTGATTTACAGAGGGACGGGTTGCAGGCAGCGTCCGAGACTTGACAAGAACATTATTGTCATTATTGTTGCCGGGATATGTAGATGTAACTTTGGGGTTGGTATTAATTTGGAGGGGAGCACTCGATTTTACACTCGTACTGTTTTTAGAAAATTTGTAAGCGTAGCTGATAAATACAAGCGTGTTATTTTTCATTTAACAAATAAGAAAATCGATCAATTGCCAACTTTATTGAAAAAAAAAAAAAAAAAAAAAAAAAAAAAAAAAGAAAAAAAATGTTTAAAGCAAAAATGAATGTTACAAAATGAAAAATATATAGCCACTAGTTTATTTTATGATGTACGTTTGCAAGTGTATTGAAGACAATTTTTTTAAACTTTTTAAATAATAATTCCAAACACACGAGTTAAACGTCCACCAACTACATAACAGTGTTAAATATTTCAATGTGTCAAAAATAAATCAAACGAAACAATATATATGTAGATTAAAAAATTGTAGATTAGACTTTGTACTAGATTTAATACATTCACAAGTATGATGAATCTGTCATATAAATCTTATGCACTTTACAGCCTTCCTTTATTAAATATATACATATTATATATTACGAATATTATATATATATAATAGTTCCACATGCCTCAAACGAATTATTGAAATACACTTGGATGATAATGCATTGTTGGTATTTATCAAAAATAAACGCTACTGATGTTCAACTGTGTACAAGAGTACTTACGGTAAGCCGACCCCAGCACTACCACCAGGAGAAAAGCAAAGAATACAGCCTTCATGGTCGTGGTTTGGGAAATTCGCAAGTCTTCGCCGAGAGGGAATAATCGGGTGCAATAGTAACATCACGACGGCAGTAGAGATTTATATAGGCGAACGGACATGTTTGCAAAAATTGATAAAGCGATTTAATCGGCTTGGAAAAATGTGATTCCCAGTTCCGTATCAGTTTTCTTGTGGGTCGATAGGGATGTGTTTTTCATCGATAACGTGAAATAGCATGAAAAAATGAAGTTAAGTAATTGATCGATTATTTGTTTTTTTTTCAACTAAATAAGAAATGACTCGAGTGCTAGCCAAAGATTATCTTTATATTTATTAGATAAACACACGTGGTTCACAAAAGTAGAGGAACAAGTTCTTTTTTTTTTCGTTCATAGTTAGTATTTTGACATAATGTGACATAATGTTTTTATTGAATGTCCAATTTTTGTCAAATTCTGGACAAGGATGATGCATATTCTATAAAGTTACAGATTATTTTAACTTTAAAACAAATAATTTATCACCGTTCAGGTATAACAAAAAAAAAAAAAAAAAAAAAATCAGTCAAAGATCTTTAGTTTTATAAAATTTATATCAATAATAATATATTTTTAAAAGGAATTTTCACGGTCTAGTCAACTTGAATTAAAAGTTAATTCAAGCGAAAACCAATCAGAGACTCTATTTTAATGCATAACTTGCCCTGTATGGATTACTCGCGAATTCGTTTCGTTCGTATTGATATGAGTTGCGTATATTCATTACGACGCAATTACGTAAACAAATTAAACCGCAATTAATTAATACTCATTCAACGTTTCGTACAAATTATAATCGAATTCATGTACGTGTACCGAATACTATAGAGATACTTTGAATTTTGAATAAATGTGATGCTAGATGTGTACAGAAAAAAAAAGGAAAATTGTCATTATCTCTTTTTAAACGAACAATACCACATGACTAAACTTTTTCCCTGACTTTACTTGCATTTGAGAAAGGCAATAAATGCTTCATTTCGAAACGGATGAAAAAAAAAAAAAAAAATCACTTTCATGTATATTTAATACGGAATATTCTTCGAAAACAGAATAATTTCAAATCAAGCCCATTTTGTTTGTGATGTAGTTGATTAGACAATATCACATTAAAATAATTCAAACGGAACTTGCGGATGGTAAGAAAAAAAATTAATAACACGACAGTTTTTATCTACAAGTTTATAATTCGATTGTTAAAAATAGTGGTAAGCTTTACGATAAAAATATATCGTTGATTTATCTTGATGTTTACTAAAAAACAGACGTAAATTGTGACAGATGGTAATCACATTGATGTGTAGATTGAAAAGAATGTATATTTTTATTTTAATAAACATAAAAATAAAAATGATTCACTATCAATTATAGTTCACTTGTAAATTTATCGACAAAAGTTTTAAATCAGACTATATTTATTTACAATATGTATTAAAATAAAAAGTTAACTCAATTTAATTTTTCTGTAACAATGAATAATTTTTAAGAAATTACACCTTTTACGTACTGATTCAAGTAAATGTGAAACAATAAATGCTATAACTTAGGTATACAAACTCAAATTACCCATCCAAACGTTCGTTCGCACAGATCACATTAAAAAATATGGTAAATAAAGAAATGTTGTTTTTGCAAAAAAAAAATTTTGTAGACATGCCATTATGATTCATATAGGAGCTCTTGCGCAATTTTTGAGAGAAGCAGCGTTTTTGTTGATGTAACTAAGCCGCGGCAAACGACGTGCAGTATTTCGTCCACTTATATGACACAATGCGTGCGAGATCGAAGGAGAAGTCAGTTTGGGGCGTAAAGTAAATAGAAATTAGAAGATCACGCGTCCGTCATTGGAAAAGAAGTGTACTCTTTTCTTGTTGGATTTTTAATTTTTTTTAGCAAATATTAAACATTTTTATATGGTTACGCGAAAAATTGAGAGTCGACACAATTAGGCGCATTACAGAAATATTTTTGATTACATCCATTGCAATTTAATTCAAGTTAATAAATGTACTAATAAAATTTTTTTAAACCTTATCTATTAGTATTCATAAAAAGGAATATTTTACGAAAGGTAGGATAAAAATATCATATTTAGTTATATTTTATTTTTAGATGTTCGTTGACAAAAAACATAAATTAAAGATGAACTTTTTTTTTTATTTAATAACGGCTACGAAGCAAAAAGAAAATAATGCTGTATTCGAGTAGGTGAACTAATTTTGTCGAACAATACAACTTTCACCTACGGTATATGGTGTGTTATTGTTCCTTCATGGAATCGTTTACACCAATTTTGCAACACTACAATCGACACATAATGTTACAGAGAGTAAATAATATCTCAAACACAATCTGTTCCGACGAATCTTATCTTAGATGCAAAAAATGTATAATTTATTGTTATTTCATAAACAAACATTGTAGTACACAAACGAATACTTGTAAATTAAACTCGACATTTAGTACAGAGAAATAATGTGTATTTATGTTGAATTGATCTGAAATGAGTATTATAAAACAAATCTTGTCACTCTATAGGATAACAATTACTTGGGCAAGTAAAACGATTTTCGCTACATTATTTATTAGGACTAAATGATTTTATGAATTTTTTAAAAAATTTTAATTTATTGTGTCGATACTAAAGCAACACAATATTATGATTTTGTACTGTCTTCCATCATTTTTTTTTTATTTTTAAAAATCTTATTTAGTGAGAAAAAACAACTATTTCTGTCAAGCAAAAGTATTTTAAAAGAGTATAATTTTTTCATAAACCAATTTTTTTTAAATCAAATGTAAACTTTAAGGAGATTTATTATGTTTCAGTCCACATCTTGCTGTTTTTAAAAGCCACGTTTTAAACGATTTATTACTTCATAATTAAGAAATGTTTTCTTTTTACATTACGAAGCCACATAATCTTTCTTTCCTTTGACTAGAAGACCGTAAGAAGCTTCTTACAGTGTCAATTTTATAGTGTTACTACTATTGTCACTAGAAAACATTATTACATAGCTGCTGTATCCTCACTATTTTGTTTGACTTTCAAATCACAAAAATGGTTAAAATTTTATTTTTTTTATACCCCCGAAATGTTTTTGGACAAAAAGGTATTTCTAAAATAACAATTTTGATAATTAGAATAAAAAAACTATAGCTTTTTTGACACGTAAGTGCTGCGAAAATTTTTGTGTACTCAGACTCAACTCAATTTAGAGTCTAAATTATTTTACAAACCATACTGTTGTTAATGAATGTGTGATTACACTCTTATGTAATAAAAATATAAAATGCTTTTGAGAATAAGTCATACCTTAAAATGGAAAAGCACAACAATTTGTAAATCATTTAATTATGCAGTTTTTTTTTACATTGTACAACCAAAAAGCGAATTACCGATAAAAAAAATATGCAAAAAAAATTTTTAATGACAAAAGCCTTTTTATGTGAACAGTAGACACAAGAAAATAAAACAATTCAAGGTTACATTTTTTACAGCGCAGTTGCTTAAGACCATTATTACATCCATCAGATCTGACGACTATTTAAGAGGAATAAAGAACTCGTAAAGAAACTGACGAGCGACAGCATCAAAAATCCCAACAACGTCATTGTAAGCTCGACACTTGTAATGGCCATCGATTGTGTCGAGAGAACAATAGGCGCGTTGATTTTGCGTCTCTGATCTTCGATGGTACTGCGATATTACGAACGTGTTTGCACAGCATACGAAAAATAGTTTAGTTTTCCCCTACATGATTTTTTTTTAATGGCACGTGCAATCTTAAAAAAAAATAATAACAACTATATCTACAATGATTTTACAAGTTTTTAGTACTTTTTTCCTTTTAAAAATACAATGCATTCAGTTGGCTTAAAAAAATTTTCGCAAGTATATCGTGCTACGAGTATTAATAAAAATGAAGTTTTTTTTCACAAAGTATTATATGATATTTTTTTTCATACAGTATACAGTTAAGTAAAAAAAAAAAAAAATAAATTATACAAACAAAAAAAGTACTTAAAAGTAACAAAAAAAAGCAATATAAGCAAGTAAAAATAATAAGGATCTCAATCCCCAATTTGTCTCGAAAGTCTGGCTCTTTTTAACGTAGCTGACGTCTCTTTCAAAGAGCGCAGGTATTTGCAATAAAAACGCCGCGGAAAAGAAGCTATGCGACAAGTTAGATTGAGCGTCTTTTTTTTCTCTCATCCTCCTCAGAATGTAATCTCAACAGCAGCGAGGGTTTTAATTGGCGCTCAAAGCCCTGCGTTCTTAATAAACCCTATATTTCCGTCGACACTTCGATGTACATAATCCATCCTGGAACTCTGGTTCGCGACTTTAGTGGAAAAGTAAATAATTAAAGGATCTCGCCACGCGCAGCAGCAGCTCCCCAGCATTAATACCCTCGGATAATTTATGCTCGCGACTTTTTTACGCGGTGGGGTTTTAATTGTTCGTTGATGGATAAATGCTTGAAGGAAAATTTTTTTTATCGCTATATTGGGCTTCTCATCATTTTGATTTCTTTTTGTGTAAAGAAGTAAACTTTGTGAGGGAGTTGGATTAGTCGATTGTCTTTGGTTTTTATCAAAGTAAAAAAACGTTTATTGATAGTGTTTATCATCGTGGTACCAAAAGTTAGTTATAAGGGCTAAGACTATTTATTTCCTATATATATTTTAGTCGTTGAATCCTGATCTTTCGTTGGAATTAAAAATTCAGCTCAAACTTTGTTATATGATTCATGAAGACGCTGTTGGCTTTGAGCCTAGGCTAATGTTATTTTATTTAGCTTACATGCCGTTAGTGAAAAAAAAAAAAAAAAAATAAATAAAATGTATAAAAAAATTATTTTACTCGTGAATTGAAGAATTATAAATTAATTTATCATCATATAACAAATTAATAAAAGCGGGAGTCACTATAATAATTATTTGTAACAACATAATTATACCATCGGAGACCCTCGCTGCTATCAATCAAGTACGATAAATTACGATAAAAATTTTTTCCGTAGTTTTTAATTTATCAATAAAAGAGTAT